CCTAGAATTCCCTGTTGTCCGCTGATGATTCAGCACACTCTGCTCGATCTGGCATTTGAAGCTTCCTCTGCTGTGGCATTTTCCTTTGTTCCTGCCCACCCTCTACCTGGGCTGTCCCGCTCTCTCTCAACTTGATACCTTCATTTTCCAGGCCCACGGCCCATGCCAGACTCACCCTCTCTCTCCCTTCCTTGAAATTTGGTAGATGATTTGTAAGCTGATTACTCCAGACCAGTGCTGTCCTAGAGAAAGATGAGGTGAACCACCTGTGTCATTTAAAATTTTCTAGTTCAGAAAGTTACATTAAAAAAATTTTTTTCTAGTTCAGATAGTTACATTAAAAAAAAGGAATCAGGTGAAATTAATTCTAATATATTTTATTTAACCCACTGTATTAAAAAAATCATTTCAACACATGATGGAAAACATTGCTAACAAGACGTTGGCTTTTCTTGTTACTAAGTGTTTAAAACTGAGTGTGTCTTGTAGTGCATCTTTGGATGCTTTGGAATCCTCCCTAAGCGCGTGTGCCTGGCAGTTCCCATGTAGACAACACTCAACCCTCAGCTAGCACGTAGTGGCTTCCCAGTTGAGAGAGGAAATGTGGGTGATGGGAGCCCCTTTTCAGCCCCGGGAGCATGCTCCCGAGTCATGGGTCACATGCTCTGAGGCTGGGAATTAACCAGAAATCACCTGCTTTACAAATCAGATAGACTGAGTTCAAGTTTAAGATTTCCACGTTAGGAAATATGTAAAGCTAACCTTCAGCGGCTCTTTTCTGTGTCTCTTTCAGTATTTCTGTAGTTTATGTGACAACCTAAAAGAAAGCGCTATTTCTTCCCTCTTTTTCAAAGTGAATGGTCATATGCTTGGAATAACCGGCTGTTGGAATGATAAGTTTAGGGAGAATCAGTAAAAGTTTGATTGTGGTTCCTGCCCTGTTTCCACTTGAGTGCTGCAGAACATTGTTCGATGACATTTCTGCACACACGCACTGTTGAGATGAATTACCACACACTTTCTCGTCTAAGACGCACGAAAGCTGATCACTGGTATCTTGTGTTCCGTTGTCACAGATTCGTGAGCCTTGCCATTCTGAAGTGAAGTTCTCTATTCCCTAACAGAATCTTCCACTGAGAGTTCTGACCTTCATCTGGTGTGGTCGTAAGAACTCAGCCTGCCTTCGCAGAGGGATCTTTTACTAAACTCGGTTTTCTGTTTGTGGTGGTGACAATGGACCAGGATCCGAGAAGGTGCCTCGGGGACCTGGCCTCTGCTGGGGTGGTCCTGCCACACGTAGCAGCTTCGCTTATGCAGAATCTGCAAGAACTCACGTGCTCGGTTCAGTGTGACTCGGGTGTGATTTATTCCAGTTCCGTTTGAATGCTGAGTCGAGGGTGGCATCCACGTCCTTCCTTTGGTTCTTCATCCTGGTTTGTTCTCTGCCTTGGGCTGTTGGACTGCGAAGCTGAAATGCTCCCGCATCCTTGAGAGAGGTGTGTTGTGTAGGAAAGCACTCTTCTGCTTCCCTAGTGGGAGCCGGTCTACGTTGGTGCAGTGTTTGCATTACAGGTGGTTTTTAAAGAAACTAGCCTACAATAGCTAATCTTGGCCATTTCTAACCTGATTTCAGGAAAGGGAATTATTTCTGATTAACCCACCAGTTGTCTGTATTATCTTTCTAAATGCTTGGAAACAAGTTTTAATAAGTTGAAATGCACCCCATAAGCTTGTTAAGTAAATGTTTCTTCTCCTTTTTGTAGTGTAAGTTAGTGACATTTGTAACAAGGAATAACAGGGAATTTTAAGGTTTCTTCAAAACTGCTTATGGGAACCTGTGTAGCAGGTCACGTGGTGCCACGGTGTTTATGTACATGCTTGGTTGGAGTTGATGAATACCTACCTGTTCTAGCTTTGTCCTTTTTCCTTTTTTTAGTCATTTTTAACTAAAATTTAGAAGTAATGGCATTTTATGTGTGTAAAATACTTAACAGATTCTCTGTTGGAAAAACCGAATGCTGCCTGAAGATACACTGTTGTTTTTTTTTCTAATTGAAGCATAAGTCGATTTACAATGTTATGTAAAGACACACTCTGAGTAACTGTGGGTGAGACGTCCTGAGTTCTGTTTGTGCTGTTCTCATCTTGAAAGAAGTCCTGTCTGGTGCCAGTCACGTGGTGCAGTGACACAAAGGAAAATTTCTGTTCAAGGCATCATTAAAGCCTAAAAGTTGTACCACGTTGGAGCCGAGTCTCCACGACCAGCAGACTGTGTTCTCATTTTCTGTCTTCGGCTGGTTTGGTTTCACATTTATTTCAGTTACGCTTCTTGATAGGAAACACATTGCTTCGTTGGCAGCAAGCAGCGTTCCATAAGTGTCTTACGCAGAGCTCGTCCTGTTCAGAGCGCTGAAGGTACAAAATAACATGGCTCTTCCTGTTGACCTCTGGACAGTGATGACTTCCCTCTTTGCAGGCATCGGGATGGATACCTGTGTCATTCCCCTGCGGCACGGTGGTCTTTCCTTGGTTCAGACCACAGATTACATTTACCCCATCGTCGATGACCCTTACATGATGGTGAGTTTGACCTGATTTGTTTCTACACCTGGAACTGCTTACTCGTCTGGTTGGGGTGGCGGCTGGGGTTTTGTACATGATGTGTGGGGTTTTTTGTTCTTGTTTTATCCAGATTGTTCTCATCCCACCCTGCCCTGACTCCCGTGGTTGTGGGTCTGATTTGATCGACCCCTTGCTCACACCGGGTACCGTGCACAAGGCAGTTTAGGCGGACGTGGGGCGTCTGTCGGCTGCTTCCGTACCTGTGTGTGTGTATGTCCCCGAACACCTGGTCAGCGTGTCTGTTCGCCAGCGTATTTGTGGTTTTCTTCATTTTCTTGTCCTTGACATTTGTAGACTCCACGCTCCTGTGTTTCACCATCCTCTGTAATAGGACTGATCCTCGATGTTTCCATCCAGAAAAAACAGAGCTTAGCATCTGAGCATAATTAGCTGCCCACCTGTCCTGACTCTGGTCCCTCCCCTCACCGTGCTTTACTCCACGGCGCAGCAAGTGCGTCTGCCTCCTGCTCACGTGCTGCTCGGGCACCTGCACCTGCTCACACCAGGGCTGCTGCCATCAACCCCCCGCCCCACTGGACCCCTCCACCTTGCCAGCCGGGAGAGCCGAGGTTGGGAACATCCTATCAATAGGAAGCCCCAGGGGCCCTTCCTTGTGCCAAGGGCCCTGGAATCAAGCCACCCACGTGAGAACTGAGGCCGGGAGGCAGCTTGGTGCAGGGAGGGGTGTTCACCTCCCACGTGCTGAGACAGGCGCACAGGTCCCCAGAAGCCTGTTTCTCCCCGACACGCCCGCGCTTCTCTAGAGCAGGGCTCCTGAGGGACTGTGGCCCGCCATGGCCCAGGTGTCCCGCCTGACAGTCCCAGGGTGGCTAGAACCAGAATTCATCCTATGCCAGCATCTCGTAAAACCGCCCGAGTGCCCAGAACAGGAGGAGCAGCAAGTCGCTGCCGCCTGACCTGTGGTTGGCACCCCCGAGCTGCCGGCCACACTGCCGTTAACCGTGAGTCACTGAGGGCGGTCGGGCCACTGCCGACCTGCCAGGAAGTCGTCAGAAAACAGCAACAAGCAGTGACTCGGCCACAGAAAGTGATAGTGACTTGGAGTTTGATTACCCTGATGTCAGAAGAGAACTTTGTCATTTTCTCCTTTATTGTCTAGACAGAGGCAACGTGTATTTTAGAAAATCTCTGTTGGCAGTAAAAAACCTTTACTGCCGCATTTCTGTTGAATACTGTTTCAGAGTTCCTCGCTAGGACCATACAGTTTACTGGGCAAGGCTTCCCTGTTTCTTTAGAAAACAAGCTGACTTCAGGCCTGGATATTGTTCGTTTCTTCATTTTTTTTTTCTCAAACAAGATGATTTTCCTGTTTATCTCACACAGCCTTGAAAAGAAGCTCCAAAAATTCTCCACCCGAGTGTATAAAACCCACCTTCTCTATAACCCGTGGGATCTGTTCAGCATAAGTGGCTGTTGCCACATTTTCTTTAGGATAGTTGTTTTCAAACCTTTCTGCTCCGACTCTCCCTCCAGCGCCATCCGCTCCAAGCGTGTTTCCCCCCGACATCGCCCCCCTCCCCGTTCCCATCTCAGTAAACCTTATGCTCTAGCATGGGACGGAATGGGGGGATTGTTCGTCCCACACAAGGAAGGAGAGGCGGTGACAGGAGTGTCTGCGAGTGGTTTTGTGACCCTGGAAAGGTCGTGAGTCTGGGACTCACAGACACCCAGGAGGACCACGTCCCCGGAATGTCCCCAAGTCTTGGTGCCGCCCCGCAGCCTGGCTCCTTGTTCTGCACATGGAAAGCCCCCTTCATCCTCACTCACACCTCCTCTCTCTTCCAGGGCAGGATAGCCTGTGCCAACGTCCTCAGTGACCTCTACGCCATGGGGGTCACCGAATGTGACAATATGCTGATGCTTCTTGGAATTAGCAATAAAATGACCGACCGGGTAAGTGGAGACAGTCAGGCTGCTGCCTGGGCTGTGGTCGGGGCCCCTCACTTGCCTGCTTGGCCTTCTTTCCCTCCGTGAAGTGAGGAGCCCAGTCTGTCCACATCCCGTCCGCTCTCTGCCTCTTGGCGGCGAGCGGTGAGTTAAAATAGCCTGGCTTGTTCGTGTTTCCATTCCCGCCACCTGCTTCCCTTTCTCCCTCCTGGGCGGACCGAAGCCAAGATGTTTGCGTGTTTGTTTTCATGAACTTTTGGCTGCAGTAATAGCACCTCTGTGCCAGGCCCGTGGCCCGCCCAGGGCGCAGTGCTCAGGGCAGGCAGCACGCTCTTTGGTCGCTGGTTGGATGGTGATGTGGACAGTGGTGGGGTCGGGGTGTCCCTCGTGTTCGGGCGCCCACCGGGCAGTGCCTCTGACCGCACGACCTGTACTTGTTGTTTGACCCAGAGGGGAGTTCCTGTTTAGAGTGCTGTCGACAGGTCCTTGGTTTCGTCCCCCAGTTTGCCCTGCGCGTGGAAACGTAGGTCCAGCAGGCCCTCCTCCGCCCCTGCCCGTGCCCTTGGGGCCTTGCCGTGCACAGCTGTTGGGGGCAGGTGTGTGGGTACATGTTAAGCTGGTCTTGGGATCCTTAAGGACCATTCAGAGAGCTGGCTCAGATCCAGGGCAGCCCTGTGCACCCCGTCGTATTCCAGCTTCACTTCTGCTGTCTGGGTTTCATTCACATTGTAACCTGGAACCTTGTCCCACTTTGGGTAAAGTGGCTACAGCGTGGAGCCTCCCCCCCACTTTCTGTCACTCCCTGCCCCTGTTGAGCTCCGGGACTTCCTCTGAGGGTTTACGGTCTTCTTATAACTACAAGTGTAGTCTCTCTCTTCTGGGTTTTGAGCTGAATTATGTGACTTTTAATTTGTGTCCTTTTAAACCCTAGGAAAGGGATAAAGTGATGCCCCTAATTATACAGGGTTTTAAAGATGCAGCAGAGGAGGCAGGAACTTCTGTGACGGGCGGCCAGACCGTGCTCAACCCCTGGATTGTTCTCGGAGGCGTGGCCACAACCGTCTGCCAGCCCAACGAGTTTATCATGTGAGTGGGCTTTGCTCCCGTCCCCTGGCCCTGTTCTCTCTCTCTCTGTTTTAATAGGTTTGTGGAGATACTGATTTGCATGCCATACAATTCACTTATTTGAGGTACACAGTTCAGTGGTCTCTGGTATATTCACAGAGTTACTTCGCCATCACCGGAGTCGACTCGAGAACACTTCCATCCTCCCAGCGAGAAACCCCATCCCTCTTCGTTGTCACACACCCCACCCCACGCCCAGCCCGACCCTGGCTGCTTTCACTTCACAGAATATTAGCATAGCTTTTTAAAGTTTCATTTGTTTTGTAGCGTGTATCAGTACTTCATTCTTGTTTTTTTCAAAATTTTAGGTGTTTTTTATTAAAGTGTAATTCATATGGCAGAATTTCACAGAGTGTAAAATTTAACTTTTTTAAGTATACAACTTAATAGATTTTAGTATTCACAAAGTTGTGCAGCCATCACCACCCTCCATTTCCAGAACATTTCCATCTCCCCAGAAAGGACACCTTGTACCCATAGCAGTCTCTCCCAGTTCCCTCCTCCCTGCCCTATGGAAACCCTGACTCTCCTTTCTGTCTGTGGATTTTTCTGTTTTAGACATTTCAGAGAAATGGAATCATGCAACGTGATGTTTCACGTCCGGCTCCCTTCACTTAGCAGAGTTTTTTCATCCACATTGCACATGTGTCAGGACTTCTTCCTTTTTCTGGCTGAATAATACTGCGTTGTGTGACATCCCACAGTTTGTGCCTCTACTCGTAGGTCGTGGGCCCTTGAGTCGTGTCCCCCTGTTGTGAGTGATGCTCGCGTGCTCGTTCACACGCGGATTCTCTGTGTGGATATACCTTCTGGTTCCCTGGAGTGGCGACCTGAGGATTGCTGGGTGACGCGGTAACTCTGTTCAGTTTGACCGGCTGTCAGACTGTTTTCCAAAGCAGCTGCGCCATTTTACATTCCCAGCAGCCATGGGTGAGGGCTCGGCGCCTCGGCGGCCTCGCCCAACCTCGTTCCTGTCTCCTTGACACTGCCCATCCCGGTGAGCGGAGGCGGCGTCTCGCTGGGTCTTGACTTGCGTCGCCTGGTGGCGGACGCTGTCAGCGTCTCTTCATGTGCCTTCTGGGCCATTTCTAGCTCTTTGGAGAAGCTTCTCTCCTAACAACGTTGTCCCTTTTCTTGTTTGATGTCTTATTAAGAACAGCCACCTTGTCCTGTTCGCTGAAGGAAGTAGACACTCCACTTGTCTACCTGATTTTGTGAAGAGGAGATGTGTTGGCCTGGTTCAGAATTCAGGGGGTGACAGGCCCTGCAGGACAGAGTCCCTCACCTGTCCCTCAGCCACCAGTGTCCCTCCTGGGGGTGAGCACTGTTACCAGCCTTGGCTGTCTTTAACCAGGTTACTGTTGACAGTTAGGTTAGCTTCAGGTATGCTGACATTACAGATAGTCTCCAGTGCATAGATCTCCTTGCATACTACGTGTGGCTCTTGGGAAGAGGCTTTTCAAAGTGAAATTCCTGAGTAGGGCACCTGTGCACCGTAACTTGGATAGACGTGTCCAGTTTGCCCTTTGTAGAGGCCCCCCCACAGCAGTGGGTGCCGGGCTCCGACCAGCACAGCAGGGTGGCAGGCCCCCTGGCCTTTGCCTTGCCCCTGGGAGTAAGGGTGAGCGTATTTCTTGTACATTCCTATCGTTTGCCCTTTTCTGGAGGGTGGGAGCTCCTCTCAGAGCCATTGTGCAGCAGCTGTCGTGTTAAAGGTTTTGCATTTTACCTCCATCCAGGTTTTATTTTCCCATATTTACATTGATGGTTCTCAAACTCTCCACTTAGATGGGACAAGAGATCCCAAAGTCCATGCGTCTCCCTCATTCCAGCTTTCCCATGGAACAAGAAGCCAGCGATAGTCAAAAATGAGAGAGGAAAAAAATAATAAAACAAGCTTCAGTGAATTTTTTGTCAACAACATGAGTGTTTACTTTGTAAAATAAGAACGCACACAAACTTAAAAATAACCCAGCAATCTTATCACACTTAACTTGCTCATAGATATCTGTAGGTTGCACATAACCAGTGATGCACAAGAATACGCCAGCTCTGAGGGTGGCTGAGTCAGAGCTGAACGACATTTCTGTCTTAAGGTCTGGTTTTTGGAAAGTGAGTTTCTTGTGCATCATCTGAGAGTTAATATTTTTTGACGCTAACAGTGGACACAGATGTAACCGGATGAGTCAGGGAGCTGGTTGATTTTCACATCTTGCACGTGGCTCTCTAACCAGCTTGGATGAGTGTTGGAGTCTGTGGCCTCCTCAGTTTTCTTTTAGTATTTTGTTCAGCATCGTCTCAGTAGCAAGCTGATGAAGCTCTAATACGTGGCAGTAGTTGGTTTACACTTAAGTTCGCGTTTGCAAAGACACGGGTGGATTTGCCAGCCTCTTTCTCCTGTTTAACTGATGCTGAATTGTCTCCGTGGTTAATCTGACGAGGGGCTGCCTGTGTTCTCTTCCTCAGGCCGGATAATGCGGTGCCGGGGGACGTGCTGGTGCTGACGAAGCCCCTGGGGACGCAGGTGGCGGTGGCCGTGCACCAGTGGCTGGACATTGTGAGTGATCACGCCTCCCGGGCCAGCAGTGTGTCTTCCAGACTGAGCTCCTCTAGCCGGAGTGCCAGGGGGCTCAGGGTCAGTGCCGTCCTGGCAGAAACCCTGGGGGCCGTCCCTGTTCTCCTGCTGAATCAAGGCCACATGTATCAGGCGCTTTAAAGTAGGGGAGCCTCTGCCTGGTGCTCAGAGATGCCCCTCGAAGAGAATCTAGGAGGCAGTGAGTTCTGATTGTCTCTTCATCTTGTGCTGAGACGACCAGGTCTTTCACCTCTTAAGCATCACCAAAAATCAACACAGAGGAGAATGTGCAGATTTTGACGTCTGGGGTGTAAATAAGGCCAGGCTTTTTGACAGATTCTTTTAGTCGTGAGGTTTTTGGTTATTTCTGGTTGGTGGTTTTGTCTTTTTTAAACTAATTAGCAACTCAACATTTTGATAAATATCTGGTGGTGAAAACATCTAGAATATAAAGATATTTACCCTGAGTCACTTCTGAGCTGTAATCCTCAATTCTTCATTTAAGACTTTTTTCATTGCCATAACAACTCAAAACGTCATACGCTTGTGGTGTAATCTCACATATCTCAGTGCTTTTAATTTCTACAACTGTCATCTGAAACCACCAGCCCTGAGGAACAGTTGAAAAAGAACAATTTTATGTTATTCATCAACCAGATATATCTTAGTCTGACATAACAGAGCAGAGGAAATCTCCTAAAGAGACCACGTGTGTTAGTTTTTTTTCCTTCTCATCCTGTGATGGTGGGGAGATTTCCCATCAAAGCAGATCACAGGGCCATTACAGGGCAGTAATCCAGGTCGCTTCCCAGTACGGCCGTCCAGGCCTGAGTAATTTTATTTAGCGAGGGAGCAGGTGAGGCAAAGGGGATCCAAGATGAGGGGCTTTGGGGTCCTTCTGTTCGCCTCACCCCCAACTTGCTCCTGCCTTTGCCTTTTTACCCATTTCTTAAGAATGCTCAGCGTTGAAAACGAATTTCAAGCCTAACTAACAGCACAGTACCCTTTCATAAGGTCGGAAGCAACCGGAGAGTATGGTTTGGGCCTCGATACTAGGAGGATGCTGGTTTTTGAAAGGTGGGGAAATGACACGTATAGAATAGGGAATCATTGCTACCTGGGGTTGGGGGGTGCATTGGGATAAGGGAGGGACACAGACTCAAGTTATGACGTCAGTGGTAGATTCCTGGGTATTACTGAAGAATGAGTGAACACAGGATGCTGGCCATTAATGGACCATGATGGTGGTATGTCCTGAACCCAGCATCATGATGCCAGATCCTTTGAGAATCAGGCTGACGAGAAAGGGAGGTGAGGGGTCTTTCAAAGGATGTCCTGTGTGCTCGCCCACGGCTGCCCTCGGTGCTGTTACAACAGAGGTTGTTCCCCGTTCATTCATCCATCAAGAGGACTTGATCCCAAAATTCAGGGAACGTCAGTAAGAGTATAATTACATGAAAAATGAAAACCATCAGCTTAGCAGAGGAGATGGGGAGACCCCCAGGACACTGAGAACTACTGCTGCCCTGGCACGGAGGAGCGGCTGCAGCCAGGGTAGCACAGCCGTCTGCCCGGCTGGCTTCGTGGGTCCAGTAAACTGCCGTGTTCGACTGCGGACGTGTGGCTGCGACCAGTGACGCTAGGTCTCACGGACACCTAGGCTAATAGTCCCAGAGGAGTTAGGAAACTAGATTTTCAGAAAAAATTATTTATTTACTGTTGTGTAAATTTTTTTGGCAGCGGAGGGAGGTAATTAGGTTTATTTATTTTTACTGGAGGTGTTGGGGATTGAACCCAGGATATTAAGCATGCGCTCTACTGAGCTGTACCCTCCCCACTGGGAAACTTAATTTTGTGTATGAAAATTAGATGAATAAAACTCCCCAGAAGATTACTTGGGAAAAAGTACGTTCTTTCGAAAGGTGGTCGGAAACAAAGACTGATCCCATTTTCTCTCTCTTTCCTCCCTCACCTGTGTTCCTGTTATTAGCCTGAAAAATGGAATAAAATCAAGCTAGTGGTCACCCAGGAGGACGTGGAGCTGGCGTACCAGGAGGCGATGATGAACATGGCCAGGCTCAACAGGACAGGTGTGGGCCGGGGCTCGCCCCTCGCCGGGCCCGGCAAGCTGTCTGAACGGGGCCGGGACGGGAGATGTTTCAGGCTTTGTGGGCAACATAACAGTCTCAGTTGCGTTGATTTTTTTTTCCCCCCATGACTCTTTTAACATGTTTGGGGGAAAAAAATCTTAGCTGGAGAAACTGGGCCACATTTGGCCAGTGAACGCAGACCCCCTTCTCTTGGGACCTGGTTTGGGGTCCCTGGAGCACCGACGGGAATGGAAGTTCATGGTGTGTTCTGGACGGGAGGGCGTGTGAAGTGTGACTTGGCTGCAGGAAGTGGAGGCTCGTGTGTGGCGTCTGAAGGTGTGCTAGGGCAGGTGGGGAGGTCGTGGGGGTCTGTGCCCCCACGTTCCCTCCTAGACCCATGCGTCTGGGGCTCTCCAGGCACTGTGGCCATGCCAGCGTCTTGGCCCCCTCTGGCTTAGCCCTGCTCACAGTTAGAACAGAGCCAGGCACAGAGGAGGAGCGGAGAAATATGGGTGAATTGATGAACTCAGTCTCTGAATCTATGAAATGGAGAGGTGAGGTCATGCTTTCTCTCTTCCTTTCTGCATTTCTGTGATTGTGGGCAGTAGTGAATTCCTCTGCACCCCAATAAAAACAGAAGAGAAATTTATATAGCACGATTTCAGAAGTATTTCACTTATTTATTAATTTAAAGTGTTAACCCTTATCATAATTTTAATTCCCAGATCTGTATATAAATGAGTAATGACATTCATGTCAATATTTTTCTTTACATTTTATTTCTAGTCCTAGCTTCTTAATACTGATTAGAAAGTAATAATAATAGTGGTTACCATTTACCTGGTAGTTGTTATGTACCAGGAACTTGACATATTTTCTCATTTAATTCTTCTGACAAGTGTATTAAGATTCTCCTGTTAGCCTCATTTTACAGAGAGGTTAAGTAACTTGCTCCAGGTCACACAGCTAATCGGTGAGGACTAGGATTGAAACCAGATATGCTTTTAATGCTTTGAAGCTACTGCTTATAATGCTTTTAAGTGTTACATTCTGTTCCTTTTCTTAATGATCTAGTAAGAAATCGAGGCCATTTCACAGTCTCTGTGCATAGTAAATTGAACAAATACTTCTGTACTATGCTAAGAATTTTTAAAGCAGTTTAAAATAAAACAGGAAAATTAAGGAAAGGGCCAGAATTCATCTTATGGAAAGCAGCAACCCTTGCCTAAGGAATCACTGGTAGACTGTACGCATCTTATATTTGATTTTTATTAGCTTTCATGTGTGTGTAAAAAGCAACAGATATATTTTCTACTTAAGGAGGAAGCTCTTCTCATCCTAACTGATGAGCCAGAGGAACCGTTTCCAGAAAGGCATCTGTGTGGGTTCCTCTGTACAAAGGATTTGGTGGCAAACCAGCATTTAGAATGTGAGCTCAGGAGGGCAGGGATCTGGGTCTGTTTTGTTCACTGTGGTGTCCTCAGCACTTCGGAGTGAGGGACACACCCCAGGTGTCATTAACTATGGATGGAATGAGTGGACCTTTACACCACGTGCTGGCCCCTCTTTCTCATACTTCATGGACATCTTTTTAACAGTCCTGTGGATTAGATCCTGTTTTCCCCCTTTGGCCAAAAAGAAATAAAAGAAAATACATGCAGATCTGTTCTCAAACCCAAATCTGTCCAACTGCAGTGGCTACTCTTTCTCCAGCATGTTCCTGTGATGGAAATTTGTACAGTTTTATGCTGGAAATACCAATTTTTTCCTCTTCATTACTTGCATGTTGTATTTAAGGCCTTGGGTTGTGTTGGCATCCTATTTGGAAACTTTAAACATGCTTGAAGATGAAATTTAAAAATCTTGTCCCCCCCCACAAAAAAATCCATTTCCATTTAGTTACTTGGGGTTCCCTGAGTCAGCAGTCAGAACTGTCAACTCGTTCATTCTTCAGCTTCCCTCAAATGACTTTGAACCCAGTTTATGTAATACTTAAGCCATGAAGTCTTCAATTATTTAAAAAAAGAAGAAAAAATCTGACTGTTCAATAGGTTATCTTAAAAGTTACTTAGAAATGTGAAAAGATAATTTTTCCCCCAGCATCTGCCTTTCCCACTTTACTAAAAATTTTTGTTAGATACTATTCCTTGAAGCACTGCTTTTAATTGCAAAAGAAGGCAACAGTCCAGATGTCCATCAACAGGTGACTGGATTTTCTCATCTACATGCACGTGGAATACTACACAACCAGGAAAATGAGCAAGGGGTCTTTATTACTAAGGAGCTATCTCCAGGATACCACCAAATGAAAAAAAGTGAAGGATAGAAGCGTGTATGTATGTAGTATGCTACATTTGTGTCTTTGTAAATGAATATGAAGTAATAATATGTGTTTTATACTTTCAAAAAGAAATCATTAATAAAATTGTCACACAGAAGAGAGGGGGAGTAGGGAGGAAGCAGACCCTCTCTGACCATGCTTTGTTTTATAAGTCTGACTTTGAGATAAATAAATGTCTTATATAGTTTTCTATACTTAAAAATTAAAAGCATATTTTATAAGTCCAAACCAAATTTTTTTAAAGTTGCCTAACATTTATGTCTAAGTTAGTGGCAAAACCACCTGGGGAAGAATTATTTCAGATCAGTCTGAGCCTGGTATTTTCATTGTACATCCTCAGGGCAAAAATCCACACAAATATTTCATTGTCATCGGTGGGTTTGTGTTTGTGAGAATGTTGATATGTTAAGATAAGACGAATAAGTTAATGTCATCAGGAACAAAGATTTTTAAGAATAAGCTAGAGGAAATAAGATCAAAGAAGCTAAGTAAAAACTAATCTTCAAATTGGAATTAGCAGTATGGACTTGGGGTTTTTTTTTTTCTTTTAATCTAAAAAATGAGTATTTCCTGGCCTATTGGAAAGGCCTAGAAGCAGTGATAACCAGCAGTCGTGAATTCCTAGTGCCCAGATTCTGATCTGGAAGTTAATGTTTTCGACTAAAATGCACCAGGACTCCCTGGGGAAGAGGCAGGTTCCAGCTCTGGGACGGGAAGTGCAGAAGACAAGCCCGGACTTCCTGTGCCTGACGGTGGTGGCGCTGGCAGCCACTGGTGGGGTCGTGTCACTGCCACACTGGAAGGGGCTCCCACCTGTCATGGGGCAGGAGGGGGGTTGGGAGGGTGCAGTTTGAGTGCCAAAGAGAAGAGTGACTGTGGTCAGCTGGAGCGTGTCAAGGATCCCCCAAAAATGATAATTAAAACTTTCTAGTCCCCTTTGGAAGTTGCTAGGACACGAACCTGTTCAGAAAATAAAAGGAATCAACCCCTTACTTTTATTTTTCTTGTGGACTGTATTTCAGAAGAATTGTATTTTTTTCTTAAAAAGTCTTTATAGAAGTCACATCTGATAAATGCAGGAAGAATGACTGAACTACAGATTTGCCATTTTTGCTGCCCCCTTGATTTATAAATCTGAACCACCGACATCAATGGCCAATCAGACCGTTTGGGGAGAGGTTCTTGTTGAGATGACACACGCCCCCACCCGTGAAATGTTCTTGCCAGAAAAAAAAATGAACAAAAGAGACCAAATAACTGTATGATTCCAACTCTGTGACATTCTGGAAAAGGTAAAACTGTGAAGACAGTAAAAAGATCAGGGGTTGGGCGGATGGGTGAAAAGGTGGAACTTTCAGGGAAGTGAAGATACTCTGACCTTGGGTGCGTGTGCTTGTGGGTTTACCGACCCCCTAGGTGGTCTGACATCAGTGGACTCGGTGTAAACTGTGACCTTGAGTTAATAACGCTGTCTCAGTGCAGCCTCCTCTCAGCACCGCTGATGCTCCAGGTTGATGCTGGAGAAA